GGCTCTTCGTGGTGTGAGTCGTTCGGGCTCTTCGTCCTGGTGTGAGTCGTTCGGGCTTCTCGTGGTGTGAGTTGTTCGGGCCCCTCGTCCTGGTGTGAGTCGTTCGGGCCCCTCCTCCTGGTGTGACTCTTTCGGGCTCCTCGTGGTGTGAGTCGTTCGGGGCCCTCGTCGTGGTGTGAGTCGTTCGGGCTCCTCGTGGTGTGAGTCGTTCGGGCGCCTCGTCCTGGTGTGAGTCGTTCGGGCCCTCCTTCTGGTGTGAGTCGTTCGGGCTCTTCGTCCTGGTGTGAGTCGTTCGGGCTTCTCGTGGTGTGAGTTTTTCGGGCCCCTCGTCCTGGTGTGAGTCGTTCGGGCTCCTCGTGGCGTGAGGCGTTCGGGCACCTCGTCCCCTTTTGGGGCGTCTTGGGGGCCTCTTGGCGGCCCCAGGGGCTTCTAGGAGCGTCTTGTGGGTGCCTTGGGGGAGCCTCTTCGGGCCTCTTGGGAGCCTCTTGGAGGCCGTTTGGGGCGTCTTGGGGGCCTCTTGGCGGCCCCAGGGGCTTCCAGGAGCGTCTTGGGTGCCTCGGGGGAGCCTCTTGGGGCCTCTTGGGGGCCTCTTGGGGGCATCTTGGGGGCCTCTTGGAGGCCTCTTGGGGGCCTCCTGGGGGCCTCTTGGGGCCATCTTGGGGCCTCTTGGTGCCTCCTGGGCGCTTCTTGGGGCCATCTTGGAGGGAATCGATCAAAGAAGAGGGGAGCTTTAATGAGCGCTGCCCCCTCAGAAAGGGCAAAATGAGCCCAAAACCTTCGTAAAATCTTGGAAAGAAGAGGGGAGCTTTAATGAGCGCTACCCCCTCAGAAGGCGAAACCAAAACCGTAGTAAAATCAATGATTTTGGCTTCAAAGAAGAGGAGAGGGTTTTTTTCTCCCTCCCCCCGTCGGGGCCAGAATCCTCGTGAGGGGTGTCGTTTTCTAGCCCTCCCAGGAGTCGAACATGACCCCCCCAACGACCCGCGGGGGGACCTCTGTCAAAAAATAGTCCGTGGACCACTTTGAAATCTGTTTCGAGTATTTTTGATTTTTCGTCCAAAATCCCCATGTCGGGGGACAGGCCCGACCTGATCATAAAGCGGTCTGGTCGGAAGCCTTGAGACGGGACGGTGGTCAGCCAGAGCGCCATGTCTTGCAGGACCCTTGCAGAGCCAGGGCTGCATTGGCCCGAGCTATCGCGAAGGATCCTGCATCACTCTGGAGCAACCGCATGCCCGCGATAAAAATTAGCCTGGCGAAGGACCCGACCATATGCAGTTGTGAGTAATGCTGGTGTGAGTACCGTCTTCGGTGGATCTCCCTATGGGGCCACGAACCGTTTGAGAGGTGTGCCGAAATGGGTGTGGGGGCGGCATGCGAACGTTGCCACTGGGGCCTTCGGTGGAGCTCCTTATGGGGCCACGAAACGTGTGAGGGGTGCACCGAAGTTGGTGTGGGGGCGGCATGCGAACGCAGTCGCTGGGGCCTTCGGTGGAGCTCCCTGTGGGGCCACGAAACGTGTGAGGGGTGTGCCGAAATGGGTGGTGGGGAGGCATGCGAACGCAGCCACTGGGGCCTTCGGTGGAGCTCCCTATGGGGCCACGAAACGTGTGAGGGGTGTGCCGAAATGGGTGGTGGGGAGGCATGCAAACGCAGCCACTGGGGCCTTCGGTGGAGCTCCCTATGGGGCCACGAAACGTGTGAGGGGTGTGCCGAAATGGGTGGTGGGGAGGCATGCGAACGCAGCCACTGGGGCCTTCGGTGGAGCTCGCTTATGGGGCCACGAAACGTTTGGAGGGGTTGTGCCGACAATGGGTGGTGGGGAGGCATGCGAACGCAGCCACTGGGGCCTTTTCCCCCCCCCCCGGTGGAGCTCCCTATGGGGCCACGAAACGTGTGAGGGGGGGTGCCGAAATGTGGTGGGGGGGTGGCCCATGCGAACGCAGCCACTGGGGCCTTCGGTGGAGCTCCCTATGTGGCCACGAAACGTGTGAGGGGTGTGCCGAAATGGGTGGTGGGGAGGCCTGCGAACGCAGCCACTGGGGCCTTCGGTGGAGCTCCCTATGGGGCCACGAAACGTGTGAGGGGTGTGCCGAAATGGGTGGTGGGGAGGCATGCGAACTCAGCCACTGGGGCCTTCGGTGGAGCTGCCTATGGGGCCACGAAACGTGTGAGGGCGTTGTGCCGGCGGAAATGGGTGGTGGGGAGCCATGCGAACGCAGCAGCCACTTGGGGCTTCGGTGGAGCTCCCTATGGGGCCACGAAGCGTGTGAGGGGTGTGCCGAAATTGGTGGTGGAGAGGCATGCGAACGCAGCCATTGGGGCCGTCGGTGGAGCTCCCTATGGGGCCACGAAACGTGTGAGGGGTGTGCCGAAATGGGTGGTGGGGAGGCATGCGAACGCAGCCACTGGGGCCTTCGGTGGAGCTCCCTATGGGGCCACGAAACGTGTGACGGGTGTGCCGAAATGGGTGGTGGGGAGGCATGCGAACGCAGCCACT